TACATACATTATGATATTAGTAGATATATATAAGAATAGAACTTATCATAACCCACCAGGAATCATTTTAACTGTTGTAAGTCATTTGACAAAAAACATCGATAACTAAACGAAACGCTCATGCAAAATTCGTCATGACCATAATAAAGACAGTGAAAACGTTAAAAAATCGCCTCTTTTATGCTAAATCTCTGTCTTTTAACTTGACTTATATTTATCAATTTTATCAGTTTTCATATTACAAATATGAACAAAAAATAGTTTACAACATCTTTAATATGACCGGAATCTCAGATATAGACAAACAGACACACTACTGTTTCTACCCAGACCATCAACATTCAACATTGTTTTAAACGTACTTCCCTTTAATGCCATCACAATTTTACAAATTAAAAATGTCAAAATCATTACTTTCAGTTATATTGCGAATAAAAAAAACGAATCTGGTAATCTTATAAAAAAATTGTAGTCTTCAGACATTAAAAAGACATGTTTTACACGTCTATTTGTTTATAATAGAACACATGCAATGTATTTCAATTTTAAATTACATTGCATTTTCTAAATTGTATGGATATCTAAAACCATATTATCCCCTAACAATTATGTTATAAAATTGAGAGAAAAAGGGGTTTTAATAAGCAATCGATTCAAATATTTATCAAACAGTTATTCAAATATTTTTAACGACGAAATATCATTTAGGAATTTAAAAGAAATAAAACTTACTTGGACTCCATTGCACATTTTTAAAAATGTTTATAACAAAAAAAAAAGAAGTCCAACATTGTAAATGTCACATTCCTGTGTTTGTATGTATACAATTTGTCTAACCTTGTATGTTATAATTAAATCATAAAGATATTATCTAATTAACCATTAATGTGTGGGTAATTAAATCGTTCATAATAACACAGCTATGTTGAACTTAATAGCACGCATGCGCGAAATATGATTATTGTTTTTTGTTTTAATATTGTGAGCATTGCTATTAATTTCACACGATACTACGGTATTTGTATTGGGTGTTTTTTTGTATATTGATTAAGAGTAAAGTAAAATTTAAGACAAGGTATTCAATAGGAGAAGTGTCAGTTCGATTTTAAGAAAAGATTTGATTGAAGTGTTGAGCAGGTGTAACGACAGTTAAGAGAGGTGCTTAACACAATCCGTCTATACAGTGACATGCAATACACTTGATAAATGCAATACACTTGATGAATGCAATACACCTGATGTTAAATTCTGTAGACTATTAGCTTCTAGTAACCATACTACTATAAGAAATACGACTAGATTAATTTATCATGCTATGGAATTAAGAGCTAAAAGCCGTCCGGTTAGCTCAATAGGTAGAGCATTGGTCTCTGTGAATCGGGCAACCCGTGTTCGATTCCCAGGCGGTGCAGGTCACTTTCGCTGTGATTGAACATGAAATCCTTTCTACAGTCATTCACACTGTACCCCTGCTCTTGCATGTACAGAAGTTTTCTGTTCCTTGCGAAAGTGAAGGCAACTAGAACTGGTTAACTGCTTGATAGCCTGCCCAGGAACGATGCGGTGGCTGAACTGTGCTCTGGTGAATTCAATGTTGCCTACTGCAGTGATCCGGAGTGAAAACTACCAACATCACCACCATTAAGAGCTGAAACAATTACAAATGTTGATGCTTCTTAAGCCCTGATTAAATCTCAAGTACCGGTACTTGTTTCCTTTCAAACGGTTAATCATGGTAGTTTAGTATTTCTTATTTACTTAGTCATATTTTCACTGTTAATCAATATGGATGTTTTTCTATATTGTCATTCTGTATTTAAGCTTAAATGCATTCTTATATGTATTTGTGATATTGTAAATGGACAAAGATTTTTTGTATGCCGATATGCTAATTAACCTTAAACTGATAATATATTTGATAATGTATTAATAGACAGGAATGGTGGGGTGACCCTTGTCTTCAGTAACCGTACAGTGGTGAACATTGCTATTCGTACCCAAATCAGCTGTCCAGAGATGTACGACACACTGTTTTAGACAACCAAAGTTAGTATATTTAAGTATTTGTACATTGATAAACAGTTTTACGAATGTATGTGAACATTTGTTTTTGAATTATCCATGTAACTTTGGGTTTATTGAATAGCTGCAATAAAATATCAAACTTAATTAACAATTATTCTTGATATCAAGCCCGAATGAAATCTGTGGAAACTTACGAAACTATATGACATTAGTGTGGTAAGAAATCAATTTTACAAACATGCCTCAGCCTGATTGCGACAAGATAATCTAACTTTGCGACCAGTGCAGACCAAGATAAGTCGACAACATAATCTAACTTTGCGACCAGTGCAGACCAAGATAAGTCGGCAACATAATCTAACTTTGCGACCAGTGCAGACCAAGATAAGTCGGCAACATAATCTAACTTTGCGACCAGTGCAGACCAAGATAAGTCGGCACATCCAGTCATGGTCTGTATTTTTTGCTATTAAGTCAGTACATATTTTGTAATTTTCTCTAATAAATGAACGACTCTTCAGATTGAAAGATAGATAAGATCATTCAAGATATATAGCATGGAATGTGGTAAAACATACATTTGTATAAAAAAGATGTATGTTTAATCATGCTTACATTGTCCCTGCTTTTGATTTAAAACAGCAACCATCAAATAAATGATCACGTGCTGTCTTTCTACACACATAAAGCACATGACTCTACAGTGTCGTAGTGACTAAAAGACCAGCACAAAAAACAACAACAAAAACAACAACAAAAACGAACTAATGAATAAATTAAATGTAATTAATTAATTGACAAAAAACAAGAGTCCAAATGAGTCATCAATGCTCACATACGTTAATTGAATACGAGATAAATTGTTACCATGAGCAAGACCATTTTGAACCAAAGTCCACAATTTTTAATACTTATGTATGAACAAAATAAACAATGATTTAGTCTTCAAGTTCCGAAATTGAAGTTTAAAGATATCTTTATCAATGAGTCAATGTAAAAAAGCAACTCTCATATCGGAAGATATTGTCCGTAAATGAAAGCTCTGTGATTAATAGATGAGAATTTTAGTAAACCAAATGACCCCTGGAGAGAAGCTAATTTAGAACTAAGAAAAACTTGGTAGATTTACACAAGGACGTGTAACAAGTCAACTATATAAACCATTGAAATAAGCGAAGTCGTCAATAGCAAGATTTTTTTAAAATTTAAATCCTGTGTATAGTGACCGCTAGGGCCGGCCAGATTAGTTTAAAATAGATAAAACTTATTCAAGAGGTCAACTAACTTTTGCCACATGCATTATCTCCTCGCTCTAGGACTAAAGTAAGTACACACAAAAGATGGACGACGGGCAACACTTACGCTTACCCTGGAAATAAATGCCAGATGTACTAAAATCAAACTGTCACTCCAGGTCAGAGTGCCAAATTAGTTAACAAAATTTAGAGTATTGTAAATAGTACCATAAAGTGTATTCACGTTATATTTCGTTACATATTTCATACAAGGGCTTTTTTAAATAATTTGAAAATCATATCTCAATTGTTTGAACTAAAATAAAACATTTGTTAATTTTTAACAAACACCCCCTTTCGTTGGCATTTGTGTCAATATAGAGTAATCTAGATAAGTAATTCTTTACAAAAATATTTGACTTTTTTGTCGCGGAAGAATGACTTCTTTTATTCGCTATCGATACTATATTTTTTCTTGCATGTACTGGTAGTTGTTTGTAAAGAAAGTAAAAGAAAACCATTTATCAAAGGTATATCTGAAAAAAAACACGTTACAATTAGGTTCACTTATTCTCTCCCCCCCCCTCCCCCCCCCCCCCACCCCAACTAACAAGGTTTGATATTTAAACATGTTCATATTTGATATACCCGTTATAAGTATACAGGTACATGTAAGACTTTTTGTTTGTTTTTTGTAACGCTGATCTCATACGAGAAAAAATGAAGATATTTACGGCTATTATCTAAACGTAGAGGAAAAGGAAATTTTTAATCATCAAAATTTCTATTTTCTGTTTCGTATATATAAAAGATAACATTCCATCAAATTATTTACTTTTAAAAGGCGGTAAATTGCAGGGTTTATCTAAAACTTCCTTGGAAAACCTAGTATAATAATCCCATCTTTGAGCCAAATCATTGAATAAAATTTCCTGTTCTTAGCACGTATTTCACGTATTTCTCATTTCAGAGAAACTGGAGATTCAAACAAAGTAACCCTGGCCGTGATCATTGATAAGAATAGTAACAGAATAAAAAAAACAATTACTGAGTCACGGAAAATGCTGGTGGTAAATATCCATATTAAAGTAGCTTACCAAAACCGCGCCATAATACGACACGGTCTGTTCTGAGTCAAGAAAATACTTATGATATCTGGCGGTATATGACTCTTAAAGTTACTATTTGAACCGCATCAGAACATTGCACAACTTTAAGTATTTATTCTGAGTCACGGATGTATATATGACATCAGATAACTTTTTGTTAAGTAAACATTTGAATCGTACCAAACTATTTAGATTAAAGCGGCATTTCAAGTTTCTTGTCAAATAATAAACAAGTTGCAATAAATAAATCCACGTATATATTGTAGAGATAGTAGTCCTCTTGTAATACTTTTTATATCACACAAACAGTGTAAAGATCATACCGCGACTTTTGCAGCTCTTTTGACGGAGGAAGACCTCTGGTACCCTATTGGTGCACTTTTTTCAGGCATTACCGGACACCTGTACAGAACCACCAACCTTTCGTAAGCTTGCTAGGTAGCTTCTCAGCTTGAAATTGGTTAAGGGTATTAAGAACTTCCGTATCAGCGCCCTTAAACACCAGGTCACCAGGCCCCTTGTAATAACGATACATTCATTTGATACTATGTACCTTACATAATTATCAAAACACATTGTACATATCAAAACCCCACAATTTCTTACATCAGCTGTTAAAGTAAATACTTACCAAAGAACAATTTCTATCGGGATTCCTCTGAAATTCCATTAAAAAATCCGGCATGCTGCGTAAACTCCACATATTATTTCGCGAACTGATACCAAATACCCGGGAAGCGTGTCATCCGGACAGGTTTAATACCGAATTAATCGTTTATCGCGCAAAAAGGATCAAATGCATTTTAGCGTATGTTTGCGCAATAAAGCACACTCTTATCAAGTTTTGTTGACTTTGTAAATTGCTAACATACTTTCAGTAAATGAACACTACACGCTACCAGGTTTTTATTGAAAGTGTTTAAGTATGTCTTATCAATATATGTTTACATTTAAACGGTAAATTGACAACATGTTTGTCTATAAACAATACAATTAAAAAGACAAGACAGTTACAAAAGTATGTATAGTTCGGTTATATCATTAACGTCATATCGTGTACTTGTAAAACATAACCCGCTCACGAGGCGGACTAATATAATTGTATGTGCTCGTTTGTTTGTGTATGTTTTTGGGAGCTATATACTTGTTTAGTATAATTTTTACAAGTACTGAGATTCATCTACAAGTAACTGACATATACTCAATGTGTCCTCTTTTATTCTAACATTTGTGTTTGACAAAATATTCATGTTTTCAACATATTACTGTTCTGGTAATTCCGTTTCATGAGTATTAAAGTGATGTAGGAAGTTATATCTTTGAACTTTTGTCCTTTGTTGGAACTCTCAGAGTTCAAATTCGTTTCCATTGTTTAAGTATTTGTAGCTTCGAAATGTGCTCACAAGTACGCCCTCTGTTACTTATTAAGTCCCTCCTTCTCTAATCTGAGCCTGCATTAATTTAGGTTTTTCTATTTTGTGTCATATGGGAAACGCGAGTTGTTTATGAATAGATCATTTAATGGATATATCAGGCAGGTTTATGACATAAGCTTTCTAAAAAAACAATCTTACATAACAGGTGTTTTGATATCAAAATTCTATTGGAAAGTTATCTTTGTAACACACAGTTATGAAACAGAAAATAAACATTTTGAAATGCTCATATTATCTGTCTCTCTATATTTAGATAATTGTCAAAAATTTGATTTCTTTTGATGTCCAGAATTACACATGTACAGTAATAAAGGATTAATCAAATTTAAACATGATTAAATATCAGACAATTGATCGGTCGGTTGGTCGATCGGTCAATCATCTTATTAACCGACCAAAATCGACCCATTAAAAGTTCGCAATCATAGTTCATCATTTATTTCATAAACACAACCGAACAAGTTTACAAAGCAGAGAAATTCCTTAGCGAAAAGTACAAAAATATTATTATAAATAAAAAAGAGTAATATCGTAAACAGAAAACATTAGCAAATATTTACTTTCGTTTTAGTATTCTAGCTGCACTATCAGCAGACGACAATTATATATCGTCTGCATGGTTTTGATTTATTATTTTCGTCTAGACATCTCTAATCATGTGATAACGAAATATTTTTTTGGTATTAATTTTATTATTCCGGAACTCTGCCCGCCCCGAAAATAAAAAAGAAACCCCATAGGAAAGATAAATACAGGGAAGTTAAATACGTTTTTTCAAAAGGAAAACTATACACCACAGTTCGCTATATTAAAACGCATTTCAGTATGCAAACATGGAAAGATGGTTTAATAAACAAGTTAAATTATTGTATGATACAAAATGTAAACAGTGTTGTACTATCAGACACACTATTATACAATAAAATGTCATTATCAAGGGATGATAGTGATATTCAAACATATTCGTAAAGGTTTTGTTATATCTGTCTGATAAAATAAAAAATGGGCCAAAGAAAGAAAAGGCCGAGTCGCATTTGTATACCAAATATCATCAGGCTGTGATGTGAAGAAAATTTTCTACCATTGACCATTAATGCCGAAACTTTAACTTTTTGCCTACGTCACATTACAAGCGGGGACCGGCCGATATAGAGGGATCGATGGGACACCGTTGATAAGTTGAGATCGGAGAGAAACATTTCAATCATGTCCGAGAAGAAGTGGGTGGTCATTCTCCCTCGGTGGTATTCGGACGGTTTCCGAAGGGTACTCGCCCGGTCGACCGGTGAAAACCCTTGGCATCTTCTTTCTGGACACCGGTCGGTAACCGGCAGACTTCCGTACGATAAATGTCCAATTGCCTTCCGTTATCTGGTCTGTTTGCAACAATCGTACGGTGATGGTAAAGTATACGTGCGATATCTGGTCGGCTGTCGGACGGTATTCGTATGGCATGCTATCCCATTTTCCGGCCGTTATTCACACCCCCTCTTTTGTAGGCATTTTTCATTGCCTTCTCCTCCTCTGATTTATCCCCCACTCTTTCTTGACTTTCTGTTTTGGAAGGTACATTACACTCTGAAATCAAAGTTTTCCATAAAAGATTGTAAATGAAACTTGAAATTTTTAAGAAACCTCTGACGTGTGTGAAAACTGAGAGAATATGTGTGTGTAATTGAGTCTCTTAATACTCGCCATCGGTTACCCGTATAGGCGAGTCCTCAAGAAGAGTATTAGTCGTTTTAGATTTAGAAGGACAGCGGAAGATACAGATAGCAAGATGCCACAATTTCAGAAAAATATGAAAAACAAGATCAATAAGGAAGGCGGTGTTCAATTAACGCAACCACTACACTATCCAGCAACACAGGATGACCACCGTCAAGGAGCCAAGCAGTACACCAAACAATCTTCTCCTTCTTTTTTACCTCTCCAAGTTTTTAAGCACTCATACACGGGACTTTGCTTTAAAGTCTCGTCCGAAAGATTGCTAGTAATTTCAGTTGGTCATCCCGGGAATCGAACACACAATGTCCAGATTACAGGTAAAGCGATTGAACCGATTCAGCTCTGCACGCTGGCTAATGAGAGAAGGAATGATGGTGGTATTTATGATTTACTCTGATGACTATGGCAGTAAGTCAACTTGAATATACATACTAGAGCACAGTTCAGCCACCGTATTGTTCCTGGACAGTCTGTCAAGCAGTTAAACAGTAATAATGTATTTCACTTTTGCAAGGTACTGATAATCTCTGTACAACTAAAGTAACCTTCACCGTTGTCCAAGAATTGAACACGGGTCGCCTAATTCAGAGTCCAAAGCTTTACCTGCCGTACGGACACCTTAGGACCATACGTGCAGCGTACTGCGTCCATCCGGGCCCTGGTCAGAAACCTGTCGAGACGCCTACTGAGACCGTTCATATATCGCTCGGAAACTGGAGGAATATTTTGCGAAAATTTCAACCGATATGTAACCGATAACAAAAGGTGTCCGGCCGGGTATAGGAGGGCATTTCACCGTGTCTGCTACGGTGAGCTGGCGATGTACCGGATGCCGGAAGAAAATAACTCTGCATTAAAATTCTCCGATTACCTGTACGGTGCCCCACCGGTCACTTGACACCGGAGGGTCACCGGCCGCAAACCTTTAAAAAAAATGCAATTTCAGCCCGTTCAGACATCGGTACCTCATCGTAAACCTAATCGGAGTGTAATGTGACGCGGGCATAAGTCGGTGAACAGAATGTGGATGAGCGACAGACCTGAAATCGAATCCCAAGGTATTACAGAATATATCAAGAGACTGTGACAAGTAGTTGCTGAGAAAACTGTTAAGAAAATTTCCTACCATTCACCATTATGTTCAAAATATAACTAAGTCGGTAAACAGGAAGTTTATGAGCGACAAACCTGAAATCGAATCCCACAGTATAGGACCACATGTTTATGCCGTATACCAAATTAAGAAAACTGTTGTATGTGCTTGCTTTGGGGGCTGTATTCTTGTTAAAAATAATTTATACAAGTATTATCTACATGTAGCTGACGGAAATTTAATATGTTCTCTTTTTTCTTATGTTTGTGTTTCACAAAATGTTACTGTTTTCCTCATTTAATCAACTGTCCTGACAATTCTCTCTCATGAATATAAAAGTGATATAGTAAGTTATATCTTTTAACTATGGTTTTAACTATGGTTACTGTATAGAATTCCATCAGAATTCAAAATTATGATTAGTGTTGAAGTGTTTTCGCTTGAAAACTCGAACAAAAGCTGCGGTTTACGTATGTTTACAAATACGCCCTCTAATAAAAAACGGAATCAATCAATCAATCAATCAATCAATCAACCAAACAAACAGTCAGTCAGTCAGTCAATCAATCAATCAATCAATCAGTCTGTTACTTTAGCCGTACCGTGCATATTTTAGAATTTTCTATTATGCCTCCATATGGAAAATGCATATTGTTTATAAACAGGTCATTTTATGGAATTTAAACATCCGGCAGGTTAATGATACAGGTTCCCTGATAAGCTTTACATTATATTGGAATATTTATATAAAATTCTATTGGAAAGTTTTCTTTGTAATGAAACAGAAAATAGATATTCTGAAATGTTTGCATTATCTATTTCTCTATATTTAGACAATTGTCAATTATTTCATTTCTTTTGACATCTACACTTACACTTGTGCAGTAATAAAAAATCAAATTTAAACATGATTAAATATCAGTCAATTGGTTGGTTGTTCGGTCGATTGGTCGGTCGGTCAGTCGTTTGTTTGGTCAATCATCTTATCAACCGACCAAAATCGCCCCATTAAAAGTACTATAAATATGTCATTAAAGTGTCATATCAACATTTTGTCAGTTACATAAAATACATCAGTAGACTATAGCTTAATCTTGAGTATGTTAAAAACGCACGAAGCTAAATTGAACTATTTGCTAGTCCACTTTCTGGAAATGGCCAGTAGAATTATTGTGAAGACCTGAAGAGAGTTCAACCCTTGATATCTGGATTGAAAAGTAATACATCTACTTAAAGTCAACGCCGCAAATTACAAAAATCTTTGGGACAAAAAGTTTAAGTTATACATAAACACAATTTCGCAATTTAAACAAGCAAATTGACCCATTGCATGTACAGTATGTTAACAGACCGAAAAATAGTTTACTTTATTATATGCAACATGTTTTTTCTTTTCGATAAATATTGAAACGCTTGATTATTAAGTTCTTATATTAGCTGATATAAAGCAATGTTGCCCCTTGCTCACCTCGAGGAGGTAAAAGTAGGATTATTTTTTATCACATGCACAAGTCAGTTCATATGAAATGTTTATGTTATGTGTTATTGTAAAACAATTAAAAGATTGTTCATATAAAATATTCCTTAATTAATCAAAATTTTAATGTAAAAGCCATATTCCTGCTAGTTTTACCATTTCCGTGTACTTTTTTGGTACGTGTGAAGACGCTGACTGCATTTTGACGTAGGTTTGTGCCTTTTGCTTCTTTTTTTTCAAGTATCCACGATATTATAAATAGTTGGATCTAACAGTGTAAAACTGGGCGTTTCATTTTGGTACGTTTTTCACCACTGATCTGTTACCGATCAGAGGCATTGCAGAATACTGGCAAAGAAAAAAATGTCAATTTCTTTTCAACATCGTTAAAGAGCACATGACGTTCGTCTCTGTTGGTTGTAACATCTATCATTCAAAGGGCAGCGCGGTCTTCCTCACGACATCTTGACAATGGAGACATTTCCTTTCGTCGGCTTGAGTATATCGCCAATGCAAAATCTTTCGTAAAATTTGAAAGTTTGTTTTCGTTTGTTTTTATATCTTAATCAAAATTTGATCATTCTGAAGAATAAAAGTTCGGCTTTGATAGGCACTTATCACTAAAAAAAACAACAACAAAAACCCCAAAGAAACACGAAAATAAAACAACAATGAGCTTACCATTGTGTGTGTCGGGGTAATATGAACTAAACTTACTTTTATCTTTTCTTCTTACATGCTTTTAAATATGGAAGGTGCTCCAAGACAATGATTACTGGTACTACGTTATTAATGAAACAAATAAAACACCCGATATGTACGGTGACAGGTCTGATGCTGACTTGTTGTCATGTGGGGATGGTGCAATTTTTCTCCAAGGGCAGTTACTGTTTTGACTTTTCACTCTTTTACTTAAAATTGAAACATACCGACCGTATTTGAATACATTCTTGACAACTCAGAGCAAACACTAAACATATACAACAGGTTAATGTGTTTTATCATCACCCTAGTAATCATGGACCATAACGTAGAGGCACTTGTCATCATTTAAAAAACAACAACGTTAAAATTGAAAATAAAATTAAATATGGTTTTAGAATATCAAACTTCACACGATGATGAATTCAACTTTTTTCACTTTCAATTGATATGTGCCTATCAAAGCCAACCTTTCTGTCATACAGCCTTATCATATGAAATTAAGATCAATTAACAAACTAAAATATAATTACTTACAAGGATTACGGAACAATTTCACTTAAAATGCCTTCTTTGTCCACCATATTTTACAACAATATGGTCCGGTCGTCACCAAAAGCAACCAAAACATTAATTTTGGCTTTTCCCCTCCCTGAAAAGGATAATCAAATTAATCAAAATATAATTATTCGAGCCAAAGCGACCGAAGCCTTCGCAAGTTTAATCGTCCCTTTTAACCAAGTTCAATCATCCGCATGCTTTTCCTTCCGCGTGTTATTGATACCTAAAGTTCGGAAAAGACTGTAGACGAAAACCAACTTGCAAGTAATGTTTTGTATATCAAAGTACAAAGTAGTATTTCTGATATAAAATGTCGCTTCTTTAACATATCATTTAAAAAAAAGGAAAGAAGAAGAAAAAAAAAACATTAAGCACGACGAACAAGAAACAACTGACGCTTTTACAGGTGCAACATACATCATTGTATATAAAATAAATATGTAAAATAGTTTTTATTTTTCAGACATGACACATCAATATCAAAATTTTAATATTTACTACAGTTTTATAATGTCACGAGGCAGTGTTTAGAATAATGTTATAAGCTGAAACGCCATGTCATCTTTGGTTAAACTTCGACAAACTTTAACCATTTTGTACAGTTAATCTGTAAAAAATATGGAAACAAAGTGATCCCTCGGAAGCATTAATAACAACAAAAATGAAAATTGCAGACTCGGTTTGATTGAGTCTGTACATGAAAGTTTGAGTACGGAAAAACGCAAATGTTTGTTACGGATCTAAGATAACTATTATTAAATGTATTGAAAATATGAATATAATTACGCATAGTGAATATAACATAAAAAAAACAACACAAACAAAACAAACAGAACATTCAAAGAAACCAACAGGAAAAAAAGACTTCCCGCCGCTTGACCGCCGGGCCACTAAGCTATTAAACTTTAAACATCTAAAAAAAGACGAATTACACACATGCAAATAATAAATAGAAAAATAAAAAAATAAATAACACTGGGCCCGACTCTAAAACATATTTTTTTTACAATATCTTAATTATCTGTTTGTATATTTCAAACATTGACCAGCCTACAAGGAATTAACATTACAAATTATATTTATGCAAATGGAAATCGGTACTTAATAGAAATTTTACATGGTATTTTTTACTCTACAATAGTAGTTAGTCAACACTAGTTTATTTTAATGTCAAAAATAGCTGGACAGTCCTTCATTAGTACACTTCCTATGTTTTGTCTAATGTTTGTTGATATCTAAATCTTTTTCAAGTCAGTGGCCTGTCGTCAAAATAATTCTAGTTTAGTAAAAAGAACGTTTTGCGACAGTTTTTTTTTAACAAAAAGTTAACATTAAAAAGCGTTTCAAATTTAAAAAATAGCATCACAGTCTGTTATGCTCCTGTATTACTAGGTACCCATGAGCTTGTTTGTTAAAATAATGCAAATATATAAGTATTTTAATCAAGTTTCATGTTTATCTATGTGTCGGAGTTATCTCTCCAACCAGTATGGCAATAAGCCTACATATCGGCTACACGTCTGTATGACCTACATTAAGCGAATAATAAATTTCAAATATAAACATTTGCTGAGTAATACATTAGTATTTACAAAAATCACATTGACACACTTATGAAATCATGCCACATTGCTTAGCTAATAAATTCACTATATTGATAGATTTCAAAATAATCTCACCGGGAAATAATATACATTCAGTCACTGACCTGGGTTTTTTTTCCGAATTTCTAAATATACCGTTCGCGGTTTATCCAATACAATGGTTGTATATAAATTAGAAGATAGCGCGAAATTTGCATTCTATCTTATGACAACATTTTTCAAGGTAAGAATGTAAGTGATTTTGATACCTATTATATTATATTTATATATATATTTCGTAATGAATTGTTATTCTAATTTGATGATGATGTTGAAACAAATAATAATTATAACAATAATAATGATTTTATCGATTATGACAATGAAGATCATAAAAGTTAAAATCATTATCAATTGATATCGTATTCGGTTAACAGTTGCTTTTTCAATGAATCGCATTTGTTTTTTCAAACAGGTGTGAAAAGGATGTTGATGTAAATGGCTAGTGGTGGCACAAAAACTGATGTTACAGCTGCGATAGGTTGTTTCGTCCAAAATGGAGACGGAAAAACTGTATATGCTGTAGTATGTAAACACGTCACTTATGCCGCAAATAAGTTCAGTGTACGAGGTATTCCATTCGCAACAGTTACGCAGAAAACAAAGGAAACAAAGAAAACAAGGGAAACGACGCCAACGTTCAATCACTTTGATATTGACCTTGTTAAGGTGAAAATCAATCAAGTTCAAAAATGCAAACCCGTTTTCCGAGATGCTCACGGAGATATTAGAAAGGCGCGTATATTCAAGGGAGAATTAGGCAGTTTGGACCCAGTATTTGCGTGTTTCAACAATGCCAGAAATGAGGACGAACGAAGAACAGGAAAAGTTTTACCAATGTCTGAAGCAGATGAAACCATACGAGATTGTTACAGTAGTGACACTCACTTTGTAGTAAAAGGTGACTCGTTTGCTACTGTAGGTCATAGCGGAAGAGTCGTCGCTTACTACGATGCCAAAAGTGATGAGGGTTTCATTGAGCTACTTGGTATGATAGTTCATAAAACAGGAAGTCAGACAGTTTGTCTGAAACTACATAATGGATTTAAACACCTGAATGAGGAGTATGGCTTTAACTTGTCATTGTGCGAACCAGAAAACTACACAGGTGATGAGAATGCGTGCGTTGAGACAGGTGATTATATAAACTTTTAAGTGTAAAAGAATGAATCATATTGTGAGTTTAGTACATGTATTCTGTGAACTGTCTCAAAAACATTTTCATTTTTCATTAGTTTACGTTGTGCTTTGATGATATTTCCGTCACACGAAACAGTATTACATTTTCCTTCCATGGGCTTAACCTGTACGCTTTGTATATACACAACATTTTTAGTTAATTTCATTTTATATCAATATATTTTCTTTTCCAAATTTTTATGATATCTTTTAGTAAGATGGGTGATGAATTATAATTTTGTGATAATAATACATAGCAATTATTCTTTTTTTACTTTACTTTACAAAATGTATACTTAATCAAAAGTGATCTCAACTGTAGATTTAGATTAGTGTTTTATCATATTTTCTTGTTTTATCTATATCTACTATTTCATTAAATTCTTAATCATTTTATCTTGTATCGTGTTGTTTATTCCAGAACTATAAAATGTTTTCTTTAAATACTTAAAAACTTTAAGAGAATGAATATCGCAAATTTATATAAAAAAAAAAAACAAGAATAAAGATCAACAAGGCAAAGGCAACGTTCTCAGGATGCGCCCCGACACAATAAAAAAAACCTTGAGCGGCATAAGGGTGAAAGGAGTGTGACATGTAATGTGAAATAATATTATAAACCATCGGCGTACTTATCTTCCAATATATTTTGATTATGCGTATTTTCAACACTTATGCTGTTCTTTTACATGGACTATATCGAGGTTTTGTTGACATGACGAAACTATGAATAATATATCGCGATTCATGCTCCATTTGATGAAGGTCTAGACCAGATACAAAAACTTGTATGAAAATATCAGATCATCCGCTCACTCTTTTTTTACCAGTATAATTCGTCTAATTGTGAATAATAACCCAAAATTGAAAAGCGTACTTAAATCGGCCAAAGAATAGGAAACAAATACGAGTTATGATACTAATTCTAATGATATTCCCTAGTTTTATTGTATTTCTTTTTTGATATAAGTGCCTTGTTCAAAGTTCCGTTAAAAAGGACCTCACGTAAGAGTAATCAATATATGGTTGAAATGAGTCTCTTCAATAGAGATGAGTCATCTAACAATCATTATCAAAACCATCACCTACGTCATCGTCATGATCCTTATAAGATTAAACATATTTCATTGCAGCAAATATATGTGAATAATATAAAAATGATATTCCAAAGTATAACAAATTTGTTTTGTTTGGTATTTTATGTCACACCGACACAGTATAAGTCATTTTGCGACGTTTCAGCTTTACTGGTCGAGGAAGACCTCAGGTTCCCTTCCGTGCATTTTTTCAAGCACGAACGGGCAACTGAGTAGAACCACCGACGTTTTTTAAACTAGCTGGATAGCTTCCTCACATGAAAGAATCCAAAGTCCCTGTCAGGATTCGAACCCACAGCGGTGAGGAGCAAGTGGTTTGAAGTCAACGACCTTAACCACTCTGCCACGGACGCCCCTCAAAGTATAACAAAAGCAAATGGGTTGAGTAACAAGTTATGGTGATTATCATTATCGCAGCATCCTCACCATCGTCCATGCAAGTAACATTTGACTATGTCCATAATCGCCGAGAACGTCAACGTAAAAAATATTTATAAGGATACTAAAGCTTGTTTTTATAACTTTTGACCTTTTTTCTAAACTTATCACTGGACATTCTTAATAAAAATAGTGTTTCAAAGGGGGATTCACTTCGCCCGCCATGAGTAATCAAAACTTTTATTTACCACAAGTGATATTAATGATGATTTTGTACTTGTTTGGAAAAGACAGAATGTTAGTTAGTCTGACCTATAGTTAATTATACATTTATAACCAACATCATAAATATAAATATCTCCATATTAAAATATATTCATGATAAAAGAAAATATTCTGTTTATTTATTGGGGGAAATTGTCGAAGTATTTCCTTCTTTTCGAGTGAAGAAACTGTGTATGGGTATCGTATGCTTTAACTCAGAAAGTATATGACTAATCGGTAACCGGTTTTCCTCTAATTTCTAATTTTATTTAAAGCCGCCTCAACTAACATTGGTACTGCATTAGGAACGTCCTGATAGAACTCAATTTTCACTAATATTTTAAGTTAAGTTAATTAATACCGTGTATATTCACTATTTCAATTTCAACAACGACTCATGATACTAAAAATGATGAAAAGTGTATTGGAAATTCAATCAAACATGGTAACAAACGCACATGTCAAACTAAGTAATGTCAACGGCCGATTTCTCCTTTCACACCTGTTCAATACACAACATAGTGGGTGAAATTTCAGGCCAGGTCAGTACATACACATCGTGGATCAATAAATCGATGACAAATCGCCCGACTTCCGATCGAGCATAGGCAAAAGCATGTTGAAGCCTGGCTGTACGTTGCTGCACAAAAGAAAGAACGTGAGGTCGGATGATTTTGTCACTTATCTGATACCTGTAACCGCCACTTTCGCATCACAAGAGCTGTTCTGAGAAAGAATGAGGTGCTACCAAGACACGTCGTTGAATCATGTAACTGTGATGGAATTGTTAACCAACATGAAGGTACACTCTCAAACTACCGTCGATTTGCCGAAATGAAACTTTAGCCCATCACGTATTCAGTCATTCTGTTTATGCATGTCGACTACATAATTGGCACTGTTTGAAACATGATGTATGGAGTGACGTCGTGGACGAACGTCTCGTTAGAAAATCAATTAAGTTGCGTTCGGGGACTAATTTTCTCATGGCCAAGACTACTTCCGGCCACCAAAGTAACAGTTCATTCATCGGAGGGTCTCCAAAAGACGCCTTAAGCATTTCGGTGTAAAAAAATTGAAAAGGAACGTCAGTATGACGCACCCAGCTTCGAGCATGCATACGGCACGATATCTGTCTGTTTATTTAACCTCATTATGAAATGCCAGAGGCGTGTTTCAAAATTATGCTTGTTTGTGTCTTACAGGTATCGCTTTTACTAAATCGTAGGCGAAGAACGTGTTTGCAACTGACTGTATGGCGAAAAAAGATAAAGTGAAAAAGAAATCGTTGGCAAGGCAGACGAAATATCCGTGCAACTCATTCATGGGACGGGTACACAAAATGTCCTGTGTAAATTTTTAAGGTTTTATTAATAAAATTTAGCGATTGGTGAACATTCTACATTTTTAAAACAAGTTCAGCTATCAACCATTTCATCATCTTTTTCTCTTTTTTGTCTTCTTAGTTGTCTCTTTATAAATGAGATGATATTTATTTCTTTCATGAAATGGTTGGATAAAAATAACGCCTTAGAGAACACATCATCTAACTAACTGTTCGGAAAACCGAGGTTGCTTGCCAGTATTAGTATGTTAAATATATCATTCACCCCTGTTGTTAACGGAGATGAGAATCTGTGAAGTCAAAAATAAAATATGACAGTACAAGATCCATTATATTTAAACCATTTTGTAAAACCCATTTACTTATTACCTTGGATACGCATTTAATGTAAACTTTAATGGCCTGGTTTATAATGACATTCCGTCCTTTTTTCCACGTGTGCTCTGTCCTGTTCGGTGTCCTGCTGGGCTCCTTGCCGGTGTTCCTGTGTTAGGGGTTGCGTTCATTGGATACCGCCATTTCTTGTTAATCTGAAGTTTCACATTTTGTGAAGAAATTATAAAATATTATGTACTTTGTATGGTTCACGTTTACAAATTTAAAGCAATGTGTAACAAATTTTGATGAGTCATACTAACTTGTAGGTATTCGATCCTGTCGTGTACACTGTACATCAGTTTTCTTGTATCCATCGGACCTTCAAAAACGTTTCAAGCTAGGTAATTTTAATGGAACAAAAAAATCGGCTACTGCCCTCTATACATTACAGTTGTATGGATATGAGATCATTGCTAACCTAGTTACCTGAAAAATACGCTTGTTTCTTTTAATGTTAACATAAACAGTTAAATATAGATGGTGTTTTATATGTACACAAGATAATGTATTATGGTTCTTGAAACATAGTCTTTTTACAAATACAAGTGATTTCCTAATAAAAATACAAATTATTGGTGTTTGTTTTCATATTGTAGCAGTTTTTGTCCAGTTTATGTATGCATTAAAGAAATATATAAAGAAATGATTTAGTGGTGTTCAACTTATAGTTTATTATGTATGCATTGACGAAAAATACAAGAAAATGATTTAGTGGTTTTAAGCTTATATTTTATCTCACAAATGCCATTGTGAACATTAAAATGTCATGGTTAGTTTTCATTTAGACAATAAACTAAATAAACATCAGATTTCAAATCGTTGACATAAAGAAAGTTATAAATATCTATATAGTAGTAACATAGTTTTACTGACCTATTTTTAAAGGAATAACGTGAATGAATTTCCAAATTGTATTTCCTGGTATCTTCCTACTCATTTATTTTTCCTATTATTCATCATGGCACGTGCTGATATCTTTTGTATATACATTTAGTCGGCCCTAACAACAAAGCTACAATTAATAAAGTTGTCATACTAGGGAATACCCGATAATAACTATAAATAGATCTATCTATAGCCTTGTAAGCTATTTTTATCCGGGTTTCCAGTTAATCTATTTTTAGATATAATAACAGGTACGTTTGAAATTCATTATAAATATTACATCAGGTGTTGACTTTTTTCTCTAAAAATGATGAAATAAAATAGTATTTGACAAATTAACTTTAGATATGACACACTTAACTTTGTATTTAAATTACAAAAAAATCATTATACTCTGTTATAAACCTGATTCTAGTTTTTCCAAGCTGTTCTGTAGATGTATTTTCTTGTTATTTGTTTTTAAAATTAGGCATTTAAAAGCTCTGATTAAGATAGCTATGTTAATATGTTGAAAACTTTCTTTCTTGTGCTAGTACATGTATATATAAACATATCATGCAGTACCGATTACTTTTATCTAATATCATCTTCTGACGTTTTAGACGCCGGTAAAAAGTTAAAGAAATGTGCCAAATATCTGGAAAAAAGTGATCCCTCGGAAGCATTAAAACAGCAAAATTACATGAAAATTTGCAGATTCGGTTTGAGTCTGTACATGAGAGATAATGAAAGCGGGCAACATCCCTCACGCCACCTAGCACCGGCTTGAGCGGTACTTAATTCCCAACACTTAAAAGTGATGGGCTCAATGATCCCGATCGACCAGAATAAAGACATGCAGTTTGACTACATACTGTTCTATTTGCAGCTCCCTTTTGTTGTTGTTATTTTTATTATTTTCATGTTTCTGTTACATAAGGAATAACTTAAAAGCAAGTAAATTCTATTGTGATAACTCAATAAAGTTTAATTGACCCATGTACGTATATAATACATATTTGTAATGTACATCCATGACTGACCACCTAGCTTCCCGTTTTCAAATTAGT